ACTCCCGAGTCTCAGCGTTGACCTTGCTTGCTGCCCTGTTCGTCTTCCTTCTCGTCTGTTCTCCCCATTTGCTCTCCCCTCCTCGCCCCCTTGCCTTTCCCTCGCCGTCGTCAAGCCAGTTTCTGGTCGCCGGCAAGGAGAACTCGGAACAGGCGATCGCTTTGCTTCCCGAGGGCAGTCGATCTTGTGAGGAGTTTCCCTTCAAAAGCCCCGAGCGTTCCTCAAGGAACTTACGCCATTCACTCGACCGCTAAAGTTATGATGTTCCAACTTACTTTAGCTTTGATTCACCAGAAAGAATTCCGAGCTTGGGCCCTGGGGGGCGACACTCGTTCAATACTGTTTCGACAGTTTCCGGGGTGCTCCAAATTATTTCTGGGATGCGGTCCCTAGATACGATGGGAGCATCATAGCGCCAGAGGAGGAGACGTGCGGCCTCCCCTGCTGGCAGCCTTCTCGGATTCGAGCGGCGCAGAGGAAGACTAGCAAACAAAATAACGTATACATGCGTTGGGTTGCTCATTTCACTTGTGCATAACGTATTCCCTGTCGCCTGCTCGGCGCGCTGCCGCCAGCCTGGCCGTTCCTGGATGCAGTGGCCCCTTGGAATCCCACCAGCCCTCTGGGCGTCGGTGGTTTAGGGCGTTTCCTCTTCCACCCCTCCCTTTTCCCCTTCGGGGAGGGGTTTACCCCTCCCCCTACCCCCTCCCCACTGACCTGGACAGGAGGGGCGGGGAGCGGTCAGAGCGTCCAAAACGGCCTCGGCGAGGAAGCCAAAATCATTGATTTTACTATGGTTTTGGCCCCATTTTGGCCTTCTGAGGGGGCAGGGCTAATTAAAGCTCCCCTCTTCTTTGATAGATTTCCTCCACGATGGCCGCAAGAGGCCCCCAGGATGCCCCAAGAGGCCGCAGGATGGCCCCAAGATGGCCCCAAGAGGCCCCCCAAGAGGCCCCCAGGCGGCCCCCAAGAGACCCCCAAGAGGCCCCAAGAAACCCCCCAGAGGCACCCAAGGTGCTCCCAGAGGCCTCGGCGATAATGTCAAACCATTGTTTGCACTAAGGTTTTAGCCAAATGTTGGCATCTTGGGGGGGCACCGATTAAGATGACTCCAAGAGCGCCTCGGAGAGCCCAAAATGACTTCCAAGATGGCTCAAGAAATCCCAAGATGTCTCATACTGGCTTCCTCTGTGTGCTGTCCATTTCCCTGATCGAGGCAATCCCACCAGCCCTCTGGGCGTCGGTGGTTGAAGGCGTTTCCTCTTCCACCCCTCCCTCTTTCCCTTCGGGGAGGGGTTTACCCCTCCCCCTACCCCCTCCCCGTGGACCTGGACGGGGGGGGGCCCGGCGCGGGCCATTAGGGCGGCATGAGGGCGGGCAGAAAGCTGGCAGACAGCCGCCAGGCTGTTGCCGGAGAGCGCTGGCGCAGCGCCACGGAGCCGCCCCAGGAGGCACACAGGCGCGACTCCTGCTAGTGAGCTTCGGGGGCGCCACTCCTGTCTGGGAGCACACAGGCGCAGCTCCTTTCAAGGAAGTTGGAGGTGCTGCTCCTGTCAGGGAGCACAGGAAGGAGCTCTGGGGGGCAGCGCTCCTGTCGGGGAGCACGGCGCAAATCATTTCAGGGAGCATTGGGCGCCGCCCCCTTCGGGGAACTTCTGTTCTGGGGCGCCGCTCCTGTCAGGGAGCTTCGAGGCGCCGCTCCTATCAGGGAGCTTTGAGGCGCCGCTCCCGTCAAGGAGTTTTCGGCCGCTGCTCCTGTCAGGGAACACGCAAAAAGGGAGTTTTAGGGCGCCGCTCCTGTCGGGGAGCACACAGGCGCAGCTCCTTTCAGGGGGCGCTAGGCACCGCCAGCTCCTAGGGAGCACGCAGGCGCAGCTTCTTTCAGGGAGTTTCGGAGGCGCCGCTCCTATCAGGGAGCCTGTTTTGTTTCTGCAGCCCCTGTCAGCGACACTTTTTTGGATGAAGCGTAAACTTGTTTCTGGCATAGGAAAATCATGTGGGCCAGGCCCGCTGTCGCTCACCTCCCCCCCTCTCCTCCGCTCACGCGCCTCGGTGCCTGCATGGCGGGCGTGCGGTCCTCGGCGCCGGCCCGCTAGTTCTGGAGCGGCGGAAGTATTTCTCGGCGCGGCACCTGTGTCACCGCGCCTCTCGCCCCTGCTCGTCCGTGAGGCCGTGGGGCCCTGGCAAAGCGTGACCGCGGTCGTCTTCTGCTCGGCCCGGCCTTCTGACCGCAGGGAACGTGTGGGCCAGGTTCCCTGTGAGAAGCCGCGCGCAGGGTCACTGCCTTCTCGCGGGCAAACCCAAGGTCCCTGCCGTCTCGCGGGCATTTCCAGAGCTCCTGCCTTCTCGCGGGCAAGCTCAGGCCACCGTGTTTCTCACTCTCGGGTTCTGCCTTTCGCGGGCAAGTTCAGGGCCCCTGCCTTCTCGCGGGCACCCCCAGAGCCCTTGCCTTCTCGCGGGCAAACTCGGGCCGCACTTCTCCCGGGCTCTGCCGAGTTCCGTGTGGCATGCTGCGTGCAGGGTCACTTCGCTGCCTTCTCGCGGGCAAACCTAGTGGGGTCTTGCCTTCTCGCGGGCGCACCCAAAAGTCCCCGCTTTCCCGCGCGCAAACTCAAGCTTCATTACTTCCGGGTCGCTGCCTTCTCGCGGGCTTTACCTCGTGCGACGGCGTGTAGGTTCGCTGCCTTCTCGCGCGGGCGGCAAACCCAGGCCTGTCGAGCCACTCTCTCTGGCCCCTGTCGCGGGCGGATCGGGCTTCCAGGCTTGTCGCCACCTCCCGCGACGCGCCCGGGGCGCCCGCTCCTCGTTGGGTTCCACGCACGAACGAAGCAAGGTGAGCATACTTCCGCCGCTTCGCGCAGAAAACCGCCAGCCGCCGACACCGCAGCCCGCTGCGCAGGCATTGAGCGTGCAGGAATTGAGGAGTGGAGGCGAACACACGTGGGGCTGCTCCCCATGGCTTTCCTGCAGCATAAACGAGTTCGTGAATCATTAAAATCGGCGGAGGGGGCGAACATACCACGAAAGGACGATTCGCGCTCAGATTGCAAGTCTGAACGCGTCTCTTGTGCGCAACGGCACTCAGCGGTGCCAGAATTGCACGCAGCAGTTGGGAACGGCGCTCTGCGGCACCAAGATTGCAGCCAGCGGTGCAAAACGGCACTTAGTGGCACCAGCATTGCACACAGGGTCAAGGACGCACAGCAGCACCAGAATTGCACTCAGGGGTGCGTGGCGGCCAAGCCGCCAAGATTCCGTCCTGCGGCGCATAACGGCGCTCCCCAGCAACAGACATGCAGCCAGAGGTTCGGAACGGCGCACAATGGGACCAGGATTGCACTCAGCGGTGGAGACTGGCGCTCAGTGGCGCCAAAATTGCATTCAGCGGTGCAGAATGGCGCACAATGGCGCCAGGATTGCGCCAATGGCACCAGACTGGCACTCAGCGGTGCGAAGTGGCGCCCAGCGGCGCCAGAATTGGTGCAGAATGGCGCTCAGTGGCACCAGAATTGCACTCCGTGGCTCAGCGGCACCAGGACAGCACACAGCGGTGCAGCGTAGCGCCGAGAAGCAGCATAATGGCGCTCAGCGGCACCAGAGCTGCGCCCGCGACGCCTGAACCCGCAAACTGAAGAACCTGAGCCACAACTGCGAGCGGGAGGGAGCGGAGAGGGATCGGCGCCCATCCCAGTCACTCCCCTTGGACCGCTCCTCGCGGCCAAGGGAGCGACGCGGGTCACCCCGCGCGAAGACCCGCGCAGGCCCTGACAACAGTGCGCACCCAGGCAGCGCGCCTGCTGCGCGCTCTGCCTGCGGCTTTGCGCCGCCGCACGACAAGCATTGCGCCCGCGCGCGTGTGCAACAAACCGCCGCGGGCTGAAAAGCCAGCGGCCCGACGAGAACGACCACGCCACAACAAGGGCATGCCACGCGACGCGTTCGCCACCAACTCTCGCAGACCTGGCGCGTGAAAAGCCGCGCCGACCAGCAGGACCAGACGCAAACCAGGGGTGGAGCCAAACGGAGAAGAGTGAAACCAAAACCGCTCTCTCGTCATATTTTCCCGCCCCCCCACATCGCTGCGCGATTTCGGGGCGAAGAAAAACGAGCAGTAAAATTTGAGAGTTATGGCGCAAGCTCTGAACGTGCATTAAATATACTGGAGAAAAGCTGCGACTGCCAGGCTTGAATCCGCAGGAGAAAACAGATTGATGGTGCAATGCGTGGGTGGGCATCTCGCACGCATCGAGGGGGAACCGCGTTCTTGTTTTCACTCGTGGCCGCAATGTCTTTCGCCGCCAAGGGCGAGGACGACCAGGGAGATGCCGCATCTGATGGCGAAGAGGGCGATTCAGAGGCATCCTCTGAATACGCGGGCGAGAAACCAAGCAGCCGTTGCAGCAGTGGTTCTGTCTCCGAAGCCAACTGCTGCAATTGGCGCCGCCCCCCCCCAAAAAAAAAAAAAAAAAACAACGCGAAGGCATCGGCAACAGGAGGTCCGGCAAGGATCGAGTCTCAGACAGGTGTGGATTGCCTGCGCCATGCGATTAACAATAATTTTGCATTCGCGCAGCAGCAAAGTTGCCACAACTCCGGAGCAATTCTTGCAAATCGCACAGCGGCTTCAAAAAGACGAGGGCACGCTGCGCAACGAGGACAATGGTTAAAGCTATTACGACCGGGATGGATATTTAATGGAAACAGCTAGCGGTTGGTATCAGCATCACCTGCCTTGCTGCCGCTTGCAGCAGTCGGCAAGCTGCGAACTTGGTGATTCAGAGTGTGTGATTGGCGTCTTGTGTGGTCCGCAATCACGCGGTCGCAAACTCGATCATTATATATGTTACAGGTCGACTGCTGTGGAATTTGGGAGAAAGTAGACAGCATAGGACCCGCAACAACTCCTAGCACGGCTGAGCGCGCGCTTGCTTCAGATGAAACCAAATGGTTTGTGATTCACTCATTGCATCCAACAGTGGGGCCTTCTTGCCCACATCTCAATGACGATCACATTTCTGGACCGCATCTCGAGTCTCGCGCAGCTTCGCAGAGAGTGGTGGATCGTGGCAGCGGCAGCAACCCGGGCCTTCTGAAGTTCATTACGAGCCAGAACAAATCGACATGAATACTTTTGCGAAGCAGATTGGATACATAACTATGTTTGCGGTGAGCGCTTGCGTTTTCTCAGCCAGCCTCTGAAAACAAATTGCACTCGAGCTGACGCTCAACAACGGAGCAGGTGCTGCGCAGATCCGCGAGTGGGTTGATTTCGTGCTGAGCGTGGACCCGAATCCCTCGTCCAAGCACGAGTTGTTCTACTACGTGGCTGTGTCCCGCCTGTTGGCCGAGGCTGTTGGGAGCATCTCCCTGTCCGATTTCGAGGGCCCTCACATGCGTGACATGATCAAGGGCTCCACGGCCATCAATGACGTGCCTTACGCGTCAGAGCCAGATGAAAAATGGAAGACGTGGAAGGTGGTCCAGCCCAGATTGCGTTCGCCCTGCGCGCGCAGGCGAAGTGCGCCCAGGCAGCCCTGCCAGCCCCCACCGCCGCGTTCCAGGCTGCCGCGGAATCCATGACCGGGATGGCCGAGGCCGCGAAGCAATTTGCTGAGCTGCAAAGCCAAGCGCTGCAGAAAGGCAAGCCGAAAGGCCTCAGCTTCAAGCTGCAGGACAGGCTGGTTGAAACCGGCTTGCAAGATTTCGCAAGGGGCAGCCTCCCATCAGAGGAAGTGCTGGCCAAGTTCGAGGCTTCAGGCAAGATTGCCCACGACAAAGGCCGCCACTGGGTCGGCCCCGCAGAGGACGAGGACTTACGCGAGCACCACCGCCCGCAGTGGAGCCGCACGCCAGTCGTGGATGCCATCATCGGCGACGGGTCCTACGAGGACAGGGTGAAGCAGTCTGCTGCCGCAAAGCGGTCTGGTGCATGGGTGGATAAGATTGACTACATCAGTTTCGCGACGTTCACGGGGCACCTGAACGAGTGGGGTTTCAAGCTGATCCTCACCAAGGCGTGCAAGATGTCAGATTTCTTTGCCTACTCTAACAACATCATCCGCATTGCCGAAGGCCTCGGCAGCGTCAGGACAGCGTTCCAGTACGACGTCCTTCAGAGGAAGGCCATGGCGCAGGCCCTCGAGAGACGAAAAAGACCTGACATTGTTTTTCACGGAGATCGACAGGAGCATCCTGAAGGACGCCAGAGACAAGGTCGAGAGGCGCTTCGCCGACACCGCCAGGGCTGACGGAACGCAGAAGGGTTCGCACAAAGGATATCTCAAGGATGGCCCTGACGTCCGAGGCGCGGGGCCCTCCAGCGCGAGCTCCGGCGGCAAGGGCGCGAAGAACGACAAGGGCGGCGATGACAGGCGCCCGCGGTCGCCCGAGAGACGCCCCAAGGGCAGCGCGAGCAAGGGCCACCCCCCCTCCAGGAGTCCGCGCGCCACCGCCCACGGCAGCAGCTGGGAGAGGAAGTGAGTGGGTTGGGGGCCACCCGACGAAGACGGCAGCACGGCGGGCGAGGAAGACAGCCCTTCGCCCTCGCCAGGCAGCCCTGGTTGCGCAGCGGTTCCTTTCAACCGCCTGCCGCAGTTTTTAGAGGCAGGGTGCGAGCGCATCGCTAAGATGTCTAGGTCTGAGTTGCAGCACTCTCGCGCGGAAGCATTGGAGTTTTGGGCTGAGAGAAAGCGAGTGACGGAACCAGTCTGGCAGCGTGCCTACGCGCAGCTTCCAGCTCACTGCCAAGCAGTTTTGGGGCCCCGGAAAAATCTTCTCCTCCTAGGCGAGATGCTTCACTCCATCGAGTGGCCAGATTCGGCATTGGTGCAACATTTGCAGCACGGCTTCCCTTTAGTAGGCCCGTTGCCCTCTAGTGGGGTTCGCGCCCAAACTGTTGGCGCAGCCCTGACTGTCACAAAAGAATCCTTGCTTACGGACGCGCGGGAGCAGAACTGCACCATGCTGCGCCGAGCGTCGGCGCCTTCTAAGGTTGATGCACAGGTGGCCGCTGGGTTTGCTGCTGCCTGCGATCGTGAGATCGGAGAAGGCAAAGCGCGAATTCGGCATTTGAGTATCGATCGTTGCATCGTTACACCGCGTTTCCCAGTCGCACAGGGCTGGAAAAAAACACCAGCGCTGGCAGAGTTCCGAAGGTCAGGTGCGTGGACGACTTTTCGGCTTCCGGCGCCAATGGTGCCACAGGGGTGTCCGAAAGGATGTTCCCTGAAACCTTAGATTCTATAGCGGCTTCAATTTGGAAGCTTGCGCCCCGCGAGCCGTTCCGCATTCGCTGGCGCAAGGACGACTTCGCGCAGGCATTTAAAGCGCTACCCAGTGCCTCTGGCAGTGGTGGCCTGGCCGGAAACACTGGCGAAAGACCAGTGTCTCCAGCTTCTTGCGACGCCGTTTGGCGCGTCGGCGCCTGTTTCCGGATGGGGGCGGCTCGGGCTTGTAATTCAGGGCGTACTGATGCAGATTTTCCTAGCGCTGTACCTCCGCTTCGTCGATGACTTGTTTGCAGGCGACGCAGCCGATGAATCGACTGGCGCAGCAGATCAGAGCTTGACCGGCCCCAGTGGAACAGCGAGCCTAGCCAGGCAGATGATTTCAGACCTCCTTGGCTGGGAACTAGACGCCGCGAAGGCTGTCACGGAACAGCCGTCCGCGACGATTCTCGGAGTTGACGTCCATCTTGATGACGTCTCCCAAGAGATACATTGTCAAATCGGCTGGGGAAAACTCGAGTTGTGGAGTTCCCAAATCAGCGACGCACTGCTCACTGGTTTCCTGTCGCCAGCGCAGGCGCAGAAACTTGCGTCGCAGCTCAGCTGGGGCGCGAGCGCTGTTTTTGGCAGGGGCGCCAGGGCGCCTCTGGCAGCTTTTTTTTTTTTTTTTTTTTTTTTTTTTTTACCACAGCACTGGCAGCACGAGCCGAATCGCAGGCAGAACCAGGCTTTCTCTCGCATGGTGGCATAAGTTGTTGCAATCGCCGCCCTCGCGGCGCGTGCCAGTGCATCCACGCGAGCGGCGTAGGTGCATTTTGTACACTGACGCCACGGGGGCCGGCAAAATGGCGCGGGTGTTGCACGCGCCTTTTGCCAAAGTGTGGGCTTCCACAGATGTGCCCGAAAGTTCCGCATGCACGTGGCGCGGGAGAGCATGACGTAGAGGTGCAGCCACCACTGCTCGTCAGACATGCCCGTGCGGCCAGCGTCCTCGTCTCTCGCGCAGTCGATGGTGACGCCCTTGCGCAGCGTCTGGCCCTGCGACAGCGTGGAGGTCAGGTAGGACGCGTGGGTCAGGGTGAACCCCGAGCGGCGCACGTTGTGCGGCCCCGAGCTCTGCCATGTGAAGTCATTTTCGCTGGGCCTGAACATCGGCAAACTCCGCGCCCGCGCCTCGGCCTGGCCGTCGTCGTCGGCGTCTTCGGCGCCCTGTCGCAGCACCTCGGCGACCTCCTGGTAGATCGGAGACTCCTTGAAGCCGTGCGCCTGCAGCCAGATCCCCTGCGGCGGGAAGCGGGGGCGAAAGAGCTGGCCTGCCGAGCATTCCTCGTGCCGCTGTTCGTCCTCGTGGTGGAACTCGACAGACACGATGGTGGCCCGTTGCTCCTGCACGAGCCCCAACTTCTTCTTCAGCTCTTCCTGCGCTGCCGTGAACCGCACCTCCATGCCGACGTGGGCCGGCAAGACGCCGTGGATGTCCCCAGTCTTGTGCATGTTCGAGACGTTCAGGAGGCGCCGACCCGCGACGTTAGCGGCCCCTTATTCACAAGGGAAATACATGTAATGTGCGAAGATTTCGGCCGAGGATGGGTTCCCACCCCCGGCCCGGACGCAAGGGGCCACCCCTGCCCCCGATTCGGCCGCCGATGGGTTACCACCGGCGGCCCGGAGACAAGGGGTTACCCCTGCCCCAGATTCGGCCGAGGATGGGTTACCACCCCCAGCCCGGATGCAAGGGGCTACCCCTGCGCCCGATTCGGCCGCCGATGGGTTACCACCGGCGGCCCGGAGACAAGGGGTTACCCCTGCCCCCGATTCGGCCGAGGATGGGTTACTACCCCCAGCCCGGACGCAAGGGGCTACCCCTGCGCCCGATTCGGCCGAGGATGGGTCACCACCCCCGGCCCGGACACAAGAGGTCACCCCTGCGCCCGGCCGCTGTCTCGTCGTCGTCGTCGTCAGTTCCTCAGTCGCCCTTTGGAGCAAGCAAGCCCATGACAGCCATATTCAGGCCGCGGGGACCCAAAAGTGACGACAGGCATACGAATTCCGAGGACTCTCCTCGGATTCGAAATTCACAAAGATGGCCCGGGAATGACGCTCTGGGAACACGACGAACACAAAGTGGCTTACAGTTGGCTTCGGACATCCAGAATGTGGCCCGGGAGTGGTGTTCTGGGAACGTGAAGAACACGAAGTGGCCTACAGTTGGCTCCGGGGTTTCAAAATGTGGCCCGGGAATGGTGTTCTGGGAACACGAAGAACACGAAGTGGCCTACAGTTGGCTCCGGGCATGCACAATGTGACCCTGGAGTGGCGTTTTGGCAGCACGAGAGCCCAAAAGTGACGGCAGTTACACGGTTTGGATGACCCGCTCGGATTACCAACATGATCTGCGGGCCCCATAGGGAGGGGGCTCCCGCCTGAGACTTCCTCACAATTCACTCACAGACGAAGCTCCCGCCTGAGACTTCCTCCAAATTCAGGCCTGAAGAGCCCAAAAGTGACGACAGTTACGGGGTTTGGATGACCCGCTCGGATTACCAACATGAAGCGCGGGCCCCATAGGGAGGGGTTCCCGCTTGCGATTTCTTCGCAATTCACTCACAGACGACGCTCCCGCCTCAGACTTCCTCCGTACTCAAGCTTGAGGAGCCCAAAAGTGACGACCGTTTCAGGGTTTGGATGACCCGCTCGGATTACCAACATGATCTGCGGGCCCCATAGGGAGGGGGCTCCCGCCTGAGACTTCCTCACAATCCACTCACAGACGAACTCCCGCCTGAGACTTCCTCCAGGTGAGTATGTGAATGAATGAGCGTGTGACAGAGTGCGAGTGGTGATGATGATGATGATGATGATGATGATGATGATGATGATGATGATGAGTATGTGAGTGACTGAGCGTGTGAGAGAGCGCGAGTGGTGATGCTGATGTTGATGATGAGAGAGTGTGAGTGAATGTGAGTGTGAGTGAGTGGTGGTGATGATGAGTGAGTGAGTGAGTGTGCGAAGGCAGAAGAGGAGAGGGGGTGGGGTGAGTGTTCCTGCGCGGGGTGTGCAGAGAATACAAGAACCCCACTTTGGATGTGGGGAAGAAACACTGATGTGTCGGATATTCTGGGCTCCATCTCGCTCTCTGCGCGCGTTGGGCGCTCACGGGCCAGCATTGGCATTGTGATTCAGGGTGCGGCCCCCAGGCCAACTGATCCGTTCATGTTGAGACTGTCGTGTGCGGGGCAGGCCAGAAGGATCGCGCGCCCGAGCGCTCCGTAGCCTTTTCGGCGCAAGGTGGATGCTCAAGTTTGTCGAAGGGGACCCCCCCAAACCAACGAAAACCAAAGAAAACCAACGAAAACCACCGAAACCAACGAAAACCCAAACGAAAGTGGTGCTGCGCGGTGTTGTGCGGTGTTGTGCGGTGCTGTGCGGTGTTGTGCGGTGCTGTGCGGTGCTGTGCGGTGCTGTGCGGTGCTGTGCGGTGCTGTGCGGTGCCGTGTGGTGTTGCGCGGTGCACGGGGCAGTTTCTGGACGGAGTTCGGGGCAGTTTCTCAACTGCCCCGCTCCCCCCGCGATCCGAATTCCGTCTGGGCGAAATTTCGGAGCAGATTCTCATCTGCTCCGCTCCCCTGTGGTCCGGGATCCATTTGGAGAGATTGTGTTTGCTTTTCTTTGTTCTGTGCCATTTGATGGCGCACGCATGCAGCAAAGTGTTGTTTTCGTAGCATTCCTGGATCAGCTCATGCTTTTGCGCTCGTGCTGACTGTCACTGTATTTCGTACGCGTCAGGGTTTTAGGGCTTCAGGTTTTAAGGATTTAAAGTTCTAGGGCTTTAGAGCTTTAAAGCTTTAAGGCTTTAGGGCTTTAGGAGTTTAGAGCTGAAGGGCTTTAGGGTTTTACGGCTGTGGGGTTTTAGGGCTTTAGGGTTTTAGGGTTTGGGGGTGTTCAAGCTTTAGGGTATAAGGGTTTTGGGCCTTGGGCTTTAAAACTTTTTAGGGTTTTAGGGCCAATGAAAATATCCAATATGTCCCATAAGTTTTGTTTGTTTCCCCACATGCTTCGTGGGGTTATGGTTTTCTTCCCACCCGCGCCGCGCCCGCGTCTCACCCACACCCGCCCTCCTCCCCTCCTTCCTCCTCCTCCCCCTCCTCCTCACACGCACACACACACACACAGCACAGCGCAGCGCAGCGCAGCAGAGCACAGCACAGCACAGCACAGCACATCACAGCGCAGCGCACACAGCACAGCACA